TAGGAAAAAAAATAATCCTGACTTCGGAAAACTTGGAAAGACTTAAATGAATTGATGTTCAGTGAAGTGAGCAGAACTAGGAGAACATTGTACACAGTATGACTAACTTTGACAGACTCATCTCCTCTCAGCAACGCAAGGATCCAAGACAACTCCAAAGGACTCATGATGGAAAATGCTGTCCACATCCAGAGAAAAAACTATGGAGTTCAAGGGCAGATTGCAGCACATTATTTGAGCTCTTTTTTTTGGGGGGGGGTGTCTTCTTCTTTCTTGTGGTTTCTCCCATTGGTTCTAATTCTTCTTTACAATGTGACTAATGTGAAAATAGATTCAATATGAATGTATATGCAGAGCCTATATCAGATTGCACGCTATCTTGGGATTGTGGGAGGGGAAAGATGGGAAGAAAATTTGGAACTCAAAATCTCATGGAAATGAATGTTGAAAACTAAAAGTAAATAAATTAATTAAAAAAATAATAATCCTGCCCTATCCTGTTGCTTTAGCTCCTTAAAATAATCTAGTTAAATCTCATTTTTAGAAATTATAGGGTATGTATTTCTGGCTACAGAAGGCAGAAATATCAGGTGACCTGTCGTAAGACAACAGATCTAAGACCAGAATCCAGGCCTCCTGACTTTCAATCCAGAGTTTTTTCCCCTCCTTTGCCACAATACTTCCTGATAATGATTCAATTCAACAAGTATTTATTTCATGTTTTCTATATGTTTGGCAGCATAATGTAATAATCTTGTTGGCAAAGTGAGATGTGATAATATAGACCAAGACATGTGAAAATACATAATACATTTGGGAATGAAATATAATTACATGCCACAACTGATGTCAGTGTAGTCACAAAGGAAAGCAATTTATGCTGGTAAGTTACCTGAAAAAGTTTCACGTAAGAGGGAGGATTTGAACTATGCCAGGGTAGACAGGGAGGATGTGGGATGTGAATGGGCACTTAACAGGTCCAAAGGCCTTCTGCCACTCCCTCCTCCTTCACTCTGTCTCACATGAAGATGGGGCCCCTTCTCCTTGCTAAGGCAAACCCCCATACATGCACAAGTGATCCTATTCTATCCCATCTTCTTCCAAATATTGCCCCCTGTATCATTCCCACTTTCTTTTCTATCCATCTCTCCCTGTCCACTGGCTGCTTCCCTACTGCCTAAAAAACATGCTCCTATCTCCTCCATCCTCAAAAAACCCTCACTTGATCTATCTATCCCCACAACCTATTTCTCATATCTTTCCTGTCTTTCTAAACACATTGCTAAGGCTGCCTATGATAAGTGCCTCCTCCACTTTCTTTCCTCTCACTATTTTAATTTTCTATGGTCTGGCTTCCAACCTCACATTCAACTGAAACTGCTCTCTCCAAAATTACTAACAACTTCTTGCTCGGCAAATCTAATGATCTTTTCTTCAGTCCCTATCCTTGTTGACCTTTCTGCAGCTTTTAACAATGTTAATCACCCTCATCAACTTGACACTCTCTTTTCTCTAGGTTTAGTTCTTAGTTCTCTTTCTACCTGTCTGACCACTCCTCAGTCTCTTTTGCTGGATCTTCATTCAGATCACAACCAAGAACCATGGCTGTCCCACAGGGTTCTGTGCTGGGCCCTCTTCTCCTCTCCCTCTACACCATTTCACTTGATTTCATCAGCTCCCATGGATTCAATTATCATTTCTATACTAATGATTCTCAAATCTATTTATTCAACCCTAAACTTTCTGCTGAGCTCCAAACTCACATCTCCAACTGCTTATTGGATATCTCAATCTGCATATTCCACAGACATATTAAACTCAACATGTACAAAACTGAATTATCTTTCCCCCCAAAACCCTCCCTTCTTCTTAATTTCCCTATTACTGCTCAAAATCTAGGTGTCAACCTCAGCTCCTCACTATCTCTCACTCCTTCCATATCCAATCTGTTGCCAAATCCTGTCAATTTTACCTTTGTAACATCTTTTGCATGCACCCCCTTTCCTTGTCTGACACTACCTCACATTTAGACTATTGTAATAGCTTGCTTGCTGGCTGCCAGCCACAAGTCTTTCTCCACTTCAGTTCATACTCTACTCAGCTGTCAAATTCATCTTTCTAAAGTACAGGTCTCCAGTCAACCTCCTCTTTGGGACTCTCTCGAGGCAGGGAGTTCTATGCCCCTTGCCAGCAGGAAGCAGTTTTAAAAGCCAAGACCTTCGTCCCTTACCCCAAAAGAATTTGGGTCCCATTTGTTTGAGGGGGGAATGATGGGGATGGGATCTGAACCCCTAAAAGGAAAAGACCATGCTCTTTGGGATCTGGACCCCAAAAAAGAAAATCCCTGGACTTTCCCCAAATCTCTGGCATTTGCCCAAGGCTGTAATCTACTCAACTGGCTTTTCACTGTCAATCTCCCAAATCGTTGGGTTACCTCCCGATTGCCCCAGGCTACTACCCACACCCTTAATCCTATCTAGACTCCATTCTCCCTAGGCCACTTGATCCAGGTCCCTGGCCACTCCCATCTGATCCTCCTTAGACTCCTCCTCCAGTCACCCCAGACTACTTGGCCACTCCTAGATCCCTCCCACAGTCTTTCTGTATATAAGGTCCATTTTGTCTCCATTAAAGTGCTCAGAATCTTATAATCTAGGCAAGGGCTCAGATTCTTAAGATCTGGCCTGCTTGCATTTAGTAATACAAATGCTTAGATTCCTTAAGAGTCTGGCCAATATGGCGGATGTTCTAATAAACCTTGTCTTTGGCTGAAAAAATAAATAAAAGCACAGGTCTGATTGACCATGTCACTCTCCTGCCCAATAAACTCCAATGGCTGCCTATCACCTCCAGGATCAAGTAACAAGCCCTTCATAACCTAACCCCTCATCACTTGACTAATCTTCTTACTTTTTACACACACACACACACACACACACACACACACACACACACACACAAGATGACCATCCAGCAGTGCTGTTGGCAAACATTTTGCCTCTTCTGATCATGAAAGGTGCTCAGGATTTAAGCTATAGGATAAGAATGATAAGAATGACACCAAAGGGGGCAACTACGTGGCACAGTAGATAGAGCACTGGCCCTGAAATCAGGAGGACCTGAATTCAAATCCAGTCTCAGACCAGACACTTGACACTTACTAGCAGAATGACCCTGGGCAAGTCACTTAACCCCAATTTCCTAAAAATTAAAAAAAAAATGTCAAAAAAATGACACCAAAGAGCTCTCAGCATCATCTCACTTTATAGAAGACTGCAGCTCAAACAGTATGAATAAGATAAAAATTATAATGATGGCAGAAGGTGAGTTTGGGTTTAAATTTCCTGAAAGAGATGAGGAAAAGTTACAGCAAACACAAAGATTACAGATTACATTGCAGTTCAAAAAGTATACATACCAACAATCTTTTTTTTTTAATCAAACAATGATTCTAGCAAATGCCTGCATAGCAGAACTTTTTTATTTGATAAGACCATCACTGTCATTGTCAGAATATTTCTGTTGAAACAGTATTTAAATTGTCAAATGTATTGGACTTAAAATAAATTCACACACACAAAAAACCAAACAGATGGTGGCCAGGTTCTCTTGAATATACAGATTTCCAATGGCACTAGTTGGCCATCCACTACTTCCATCTAGTCAGTTCCTTTCATTCATGATTGGTTTGCCTGCTATGCACAAGGCACTGATCAACAAATGTTCAACAAGCATCTATTAAGCACCTACTACTACCATCATTCAAGGCACCATAGTCAGCACTGGAGATACAAAAACAAAAAAGTATGACTTGCTTTCAAGAGAGCCTGCATTTTACTGGATGCCCTTGCAAAACACTGAGGGGCACTATCAAAATAAATGTTCTAATAGTAACTCAAATACAATTCTGCATAATATAATGGACAAAAAAAGTGTTAAGATAGATCTTACTGCATTTGTGAACATAGGTCCTCTACACTGATGGGGTCTACTGACCTCGTCACTATGAATACCCAATATACTTTTAAACTCGTCACTTAACCTATATTTTTAATGTGACTATTCCTGTTCTATTTTCAACAATAAAAAGGTATAATAACCAATAAGCATTAAGTGTCTACCATGTTCCAGAACTATGCTAGGCACTAGATATATAAAGGCAGGAAGAAAGAAAGAGAAAGGGGGGAGGGCGAAGGGGGGGGAGGGAGGGAAGAAAGGGGGAAGGGAGGATCTCTGCCTTTAAGAAGCTAACATTCTATGGAGAGTTGGGGAGGAAAAGGGAGAAAAGAGAAAGAATGACACAACATGTACTTATACAGATACAGTATATATAAAATATGAAAGTTGTTCTGGAGCAAAAAGCGATGATTGCTGAGGGAATAAGACTTCATGTGGACATTGGCATTTGAGTTAGCTTGAAGGGAACCAGAGATTCTTAGTTGTGAGATAAAACAAAGAGAAGGCATGTTTCAGAAATGGGATAGCCACTGTAGATCAAGGAGATATAGCATCACATAAAAGGAATACTAAGAAAGCCTGCTTAGCTGACCTGATGAGCTTGCCAAGGGGAACTGGGCATAATAAGGTTAGAAAGAGAGATTGTGAAGGACTCTAAATGCCAAAGAGAAGAATTTATATTTGATCCTAGTGGTAATAGGGAGCCACTGGAGTTTAGTAAGTGTCATAGTTAGAATTGTACTTTATGAAACCTTGACAATATTTATTTGACTGGCAAGATGAAGAGAAATGAGTCCTTAGAGAAAGAAAACCTCAAGACTACCCTGGAGAATTCCTACAAAGTATTAAACTGCATGCCCAAACAACCACTTATATATAGAAATGAGAATTTAAAATGAATGATTTTTCAACATTTTAAAATAATTAAAAATAATTCTATTTATTTAGGAAAGAAGGGGGGGGAAATCCCCATCCCTTTGGCCTCACATTACTCCTTTAACACCTACCTGTCCAAATTTTGGGTTTCTCTAGGCATCACTCACCTGAACAGATCTGTAGGTGGTAATAAAAGGCAACATAATATGATAGCCTGGTCCACTGGGGCTAGTAAGTAAAGCTCCTCCCCTGGAAAAAAAGATGTTTCAATGTGTCAAGGTTATTAAAGAAAAATAAAATTATCTTTCCAACCTAGAATTCAGGAAAAAAATGTTCAACAGTAACTCATCATAGAATTAGAGGATGTAGAAGTTAGAAGGGACACAGGGGCCTTAGAGGTCATCTAGTCCAACCTGTATCTGAACAGGACTTTAATGCACTCAACAGCATTGCTGAAAAGGAAGGAGTCTATGCTTGAAAACCTCCATGTGAAAGGGAAACCATTACCTCCCACGGAGGCAGCTCCTTCCATCTGAGGAGAGCTTTAATTGGGAATTAAAGCTGACGTCAAGCTGAAACTGACCTCTCAGCAATTTCGTTGTTTGTTCCTAGGCCTGCTCATGAGGACACAGCAAAACAGCAAATTCCTCTTCCACGTGACAATCTTTCACAAACTTTAACAAAGCGATCATACCCTACCTGCCCCATCTGCCCCCTCAAGGCTTTTCTTCTCCATGCTAGATATCTCCAATTCTTCTAAACAATTCTCATATGACACAACCTCAAAGTCCTGGCTAATATCCTCTGGAAATATTCCCATCTGACAACGTCCTTCCCTAAAATCTTGTATCTGGAACTGAACACAACACTCCAGAAATGCACAATATAATGGATTCTAACCTCTCTCACCTTAGACACTATGCCTCCACGAATTCAGCATTCCCTTTTTCTGGCTGTGATGTCACCATTGACGCCTTCTTAGTTTGCAGTCTACTTGATGGATGAGGTTTTTTTTTTTTACTTGGATTGTTATCTAGCCATACCTCTACCACTCTATACTTGCGAAGTTGGCTCTTGAACACATGAAGAACTTCTCATTTACCACTACTAAAGTTGGCTCTACTAAATATATCTCATTACATTCGGCCCACCATTCTAGACTTCTAGTCCTGTTATCCAATGTGTTGGCTAGCTTTCCCAACTTTGTGTCATCTGCAAATACGTGTTATCATCTATACCTTCATCCAAGTCACTGATAAAAACAGTAAGCAGTACAGGGTAAAGCACAGGTATTTGGGGCATTCCACTGAAGACCTCCTTGCAGGAAGACATCAAACTATTAATGACCACACTTTGGCTCCAAGCATTCCAACCACCTAATTGTACTGTGATCTAGCCCAACTTTTTTTCCCGACAAGGCTGATGACCCCTTCAGGGCAAGTTCTTTGAACAAAAACCAAAAAAGAGAATTACTTAAATTGGAAATATGAAGGCTGAAAAGGTACAGAGGCAAAATGGACTTATTTATTCAAATCCCAGGATGCTCACAAAAGAAACTGGGACTATGTCTTAAAACTTAAAGGAAGTCATTTTAGACAAATTTCACCTGATTGCATTTCAACATTTATTCAAACATCTATTATATCGATGTTCTGTTTTACCAGATACACTTATAGAACTGATTTCCCCAAGAACTAGTTCTTCAATGTCAAAAGATTCACAATCTCATTAGTGAGCGCTCCGCATAGGCCTCAGTAGTTGGTCTTCATGAGTTTCAGAGGTGCCCCCCCCCCCCCCCCCCCCCACCAAAATCACCTGGTTGTCAACTTTCTGGTGAGAAGCCTTTCCACACTCAGCTAGGCTCGCCATCAGATAGTATGCATAAGTTGTTGATGGGCTGGTCAACTCAACATCTTTCTGACCTTGTAAGGGTTATCAGAACTTAAGACTCCCCTGGTATAGTCTTAAAGAATCCACCTCCATGCCATTGATGTTGCAATTTATGGAAGGCAAAAAAGTTTAACACGCTGAAAATGCAAACAGTATACATGGATAATGAAATCACGGCAATTTTGGGGGAACATCTCTAACCTGATAATCCTAGATCTTGGATGGTAGCTGCGGTCATCCTTAATTAGAAACAGAGTACTTAATTAGAAACTGACTGCTAGTCACACACAGTTTGTCATTTCTTCTACCAAATTACCCCTATAGTGACCTACCAGTAAAAACACTCAAAAACAAGCTTCTTTAAAGTGTGACATCTCCTCAATCAGAAGAATGTTTCTAACTCAAAGCTAGGAGTATGGATACATTGAAACTAGGAGTGGTAAGTAAATACTCTTTTAATGAACTCTGCCCAAGGCCTCCATTGACTGATCTCCCTGTAGATAACAGGTCTCCACTTATGAGAAGTGCTGGGAATAACATCTAAAAGAAATTAAATTTTCCATATTACCTTCCCCTTACCCTGTAGGCCAGACTAACATGCTGACAAGAAGGAAAAGTTAAGTGTCCACAAGACTATTTACACATTTATCTGCATTTCATCCTTCCGAGCCATAATGTGCTATGGTTACTATTTGCAGTGATCAGATTCAGGGGAACTCCTGGAGAAGAGGGGTTGTTAGGAAGAAGTTAATGAACAAACAAGAGCACCAAGCTCCACCAGAGGAGCAGCCCTGGGCCTCTACAGTGTGTAACAGTCAAATCAGTTATGACCGCCGTCAGCAGCGCTGCCACCCACAATACTACGGACTTCACAGTCCCAGACCTAGAAGATAATACTGTAGCAAGAAGAACTTACTACATTTGGAGATTCCAAATTCCCAGGGATCATACTTGTCTTTGTTGGATAACCTAAGCTGGACGTACCCCTGGCCTGTTGGGCTCCCATGGCCTGGCACTCACCTGTAGTACACAGCAAGGTGTCCCTCCTCGATCCTGTGGATGGAGGCGTAGAGGAGAACAACCACCAGCCCTGCAGCTGCAGCCCCCAGAGCCCCGGCTTGAGTCATATTCATCCTGGCTCTTCCTATATGAGGAGCGAACCAATAGTCCTGATCTCCCTTTCCCCAAATGGTCCAGTCCCCTTTCTATAACCAATGAGGAGAAGCCTAGGTCTCCAAAGGAGCCCCTCTTCCTCCCCTCCCCTATGTGCACCCTGATCGAAATGGTCCCTTCTTCTCACACCCACCCATTGCCCAAAACCCACCATGATCCCCCCTTCTTAGTTCCAATGACCTCCCTCTTTCCCAATAGCTATCCCCACAAAACCCCCCATTACCCACTTCAGTAACATCTTTTCCATTCAACCCACCAGTTCACCTCCCCTTCCCTCCCCAATGACCCCTTTTTTCTCATTCAATAATTCCAAATGAAACAGAAGTCCCCCTTCCCCTTCAGAAAAAGTTCCACCTACCCATCAGTGATAATCTCTATCTCTCAATTGTATTATCTTCTGACAAATACCCTTTCCCCTCAGTTAATAGCAATCTGCCCAAGATACCCCCTCTTCAGCAATAATCTCTCTTTTCTAGACTCTCCCTTTCAATGTTCTTTCCTTTCACCTCAATGAACTTCAGTCTGCTCAGACATCTTCTACCCTACTGATCCTCCCCAACTAACTCTCCTTCCCCTCAGTGATACACCCCATCTTCAAAGTCACTTCCCTTAACATTCTCTCCCCTCAGAGATCCTCACCTGTAGTAACCCCTCCTTCTCCTCCTTCTCAGTGACAGCTCCTCCAAGATCAGGTATAACTCCTGGTTCAGTAAAACATTCCTCCTCCTCCCCATCTCCTCCAGAGATACGTTCAGAAACCACCACTCTCTTAAGTGATACTCCTTCCTTCCCCTTCAGTGACAATCTCTGTCCCTCACAAATGGTCACCCCATTATGCCTCAGAGACAGCCCTTCAGGAAAATAATGGCTAACATTTATGTAAGGTTTTAAGGCACACAGCTTTACAAAATCTGATCTCACTTGATCCTAACAACAACGCTGGGAGGTAAGAACTACAGGTATTCTTATCCCTACTGAACAGCACCAGGGAAGTCAGTGAATTGTCCCCAGTCACACTGTCTAGGGGCAAACTCTCCATGACACCTCTCTCCCATCAGGGCATCCACTTCTTCAGTCCTGCTTCTTACAGACAAAGGCAAGGGGAATCCCAAGTGACTTTCCTTTCCTCTTTGTGACCAAGTCCACTCTTCCTCATCTCCCTCTCCTCGACTTCCTAGCCCCCTAAGGAATGGCTCTGCCTCAGTGACACCCCTTTACCAAGACGCTCACTCCCTCCACATTTCCCCTCACATCAGCCTCTGCCCCTCCCCTAGACTGACTTCTCCTACACCCCCACCCCCACCCCGAGACCATCCTCCCACTAGTGGCCGCCTCCTCCTCAGGAACCAGCTCCCTCTAGACTGCCCTGGAAAAGAAGGCTGACTGCGGAGTCCGAGGACCTGGTTTCAAATTCAGACCCTACGGGGGCAGCCAGGTGGCGCAGTGGATGGAGCACCGGCCCTGGAGTCTGGAGGTCCTGAGTTCAAATCCGTCCTCTTCCAGCACATTCTCAGCAATATCCTTCCTCAGCTCCCCCTCCCCGCCCTTCCCTCTCAGGGACAAGTCATCTCGGTCACTCCCCCAGAGAAGGCTCCGGGCTTCGGCTTCCTCGTGGGTAGCCCCAGGGGCTGTAGGTACTAGGTGGCTGACCTCCCCACTCCAGGCCGAGAGGGAACTGGACTAGATGACCCCTCGGCCCCTCCCTCGGCCCTCCACACCTGCTCTCTCCCCCGCCCCTTCCTGACATCGCCTCCGCTTCCTGCTTCCCTCGGTGACACCAGGCGGTTCTCAGCCGCGGGCCCGGGCGGGCAGTCCCGCCCCTCGGTGACAACACCCGGCACCACGGCTCCCCAGCCCCCGCCTCGGCCGAGACTGCCTGTGACGGCCGCGCCCCTCAGTGACGCCCCCCGCTCCGCGGACGCCGCCTCCCCCTCAGGTGCAGCCCCCTGAAGAGGGAGGACACCGCGCTGGCTGCTGCAGCGAGAAGGCCTCTACCGCCCGCCCCCAGCCTCACCGATCGGCTGCGCATCTCCCCGGCGCGTCGCCGCCGAGCTCGTCGCCCACCTTTCCAGGCACCACCGGTCGCCCGCAACTGCCGGCGGGCCCAGAGTCCCGCGCTTCTGCGCAGGCGCCCGGTTGTACGCATGCGCAATCACATCCCGTAGAGCCGGGCAGGGGAGACGGCGAGCGAGCAGAGGCAAAACGGGTCTCTCGCTTTTGATGCGCGTTGTGTGGGTTTGTCTCCCCCTGGTGGAGATGGGAGGATTCGGAGCCTAGACCCACGTGGCACAGGCGTGGGCTGTCCCGAGCAGACCAGCCTGGCTTTCCGAGGAAGGGTGGGGCAGGGACGCAGACCTTGAAGTTCCTGTGAACCGCGTCAGTTTCTGGGAGGTTTTCTCTTTCACTCGGCGGGGTGTGGGCTAGCGCAAGCAGCTGGATGGGGGCAGCCCCCCCAGCTTTGCCTGCCATACCCCCTCCAGCTGCCCAGTCAATCCAACAAATACTGAGATCCTGACTGCCTGCTATGAACGAGCCCCCCCATGATACATTCATACATGTATGCATGCGTGTATATATAATACATGCGTGTATGTATAATACATACATGCACACATAAACATAAATGTGCACATAAAATATATGGGGGGGGGTGTGTACACATACAGGGGATTCCAATCCCTAAGTGGCTGTAATCATAGCTATTTGCCATAACTCAAGTTTCAAAATATATATATTTTTTTAAATTTGCAGAATTGTGTCAGGCACTGAAAGGCTAACCGATGTTCATGGTGAAAACCTGTATGTGTGAGAGAGCACTAAGGACTTCGGTTTCCCAGAGTCCAAGACCTGCTCTCCCTCCCTCTCACCCTTTGTCTTTCCATCTCTTTCTTCCTCTCTATCTTGTCTCCTCATCCCACTCAAGGTAGGCTAACTCTCAAAACGATACAAATCCCACAAACAAATAATGTGTCTGTGGTGTGCAGAGAGCCATTGGGGATGTACATAATGAAAGAGGCAAGCAGATGGACTAAGTAGAGAAAGGATGGGAGAATGAGCTTAAACTAAGGCTATAAGGTAAGCAGGAACCAGATTGTAGGCAAGCTTAAATGTGAAGATCAGTTTATACTTAATCAGTAGGCAATGAGGAAGGTTTTTGAGCACGGTGGAGAGAACTGAGACAGCTACTTGATGGCAGTGGGTAAAAAAGGCTGGACTTTTACCCAGGAAGTCAGGAAGACTCATCTTCACGCATTCAAACGCTGCCTCAGACACTTACTAGCTGTGTGATCCCCGACAAGTCACTTTACCCTGTTTGCCTCAGTTTCCTCATCTGTAAAATGAGCTGGAGAAGAAAATAGCCAACCACTCCAGTATCTTTGCCAAGAAAACACCCCCTGGGGTCACGGGGAGTTGGACACAACTTAAATAACTGAACAAAGAGAGAACTGCATGGTGTAGTTGAAAAGAACAGCTAAACTTGAAGTCACAGGATCACAGCTGTAGAGACAGAAGAGATCTCCAAGGCCTTAATTTTCCTTCACCAGTGAAATAACTGAGGCTCCCATCTTTATATCTTTGTGGTGAGGAACCAATGAGATCATGTATACATACACAGCACTCTGAACATTTTAAAGGGATAGACAAATGTTAGTTGTCATTAGGAATAACTAGCTCACTGTGGGTTAGGGTTAGAAAGATTACTCAGACAAGAGCAAATAAATTCAAACAGAGGGGAGAGGGATCCAGGGTAAGAAGACCAACTAAGAAGCTGTTTAAATGGCCTAGCAGAGACTTTAAAACAACACTGCAGTGGACACTGAGAGAAGGGAGACAGCAAAAAGATATTGCAGAGAGATAGAATTGCCAGGACTAAGCAAGTAAAAAAACAACTGAGCGAATGGTAAGGTCGTCAAGAGAAACTGACGTTAAAAGGAAGGGGAGGAGAGAAAGACAGTGATTTCGGCTTTGGATATTTTAAGCTGAAAATACCAACTGGATAGCCAGATGAAGATGCCCAGGAGTCAGCTGGAAAAATTGGCCTTGGGCCTGCGCAGATGGTAAAGGTAGTGCTAAAGTTTTGGGACTCCATCTGCATAGAGGTGATGGTGGCGGATCCCTGGCCACAGGCTGAAGCCAAGTACGAGATCGGCTTTTCTCAGGCATGGCCTATGAAACTTAATCCCAGTCACAGACCTAGCCCTATTCCTGACCACTGACTCACAGACTTGGCAACACACTGATCCCTTAATCTTGCCTCTAACTGAGCCCTAACTACAGCCACAGGCTGAATGACACGCCTGGATACTGACTCAGCTTGAAAAGCATCCAGAAATTTAGACTAAATCTCAACCATAGCCTCTTCCCCTCCACATAAACTGATCCTAGCCCAGAGGCAATTTGCTTCACTAGAGAGATCCCTCTCTGTGGTTACAGAATCACTGGGAAATTTGGCAATACCGATACACTTTCCCCTAATCTTATCCATGGATTGAGCTCTAAACATGAACCAAGGCTGAGCCCTAATTTTGGCCTCAATTGCAGCCCTAACCTCTCATTCACAGCCTGAGCCCCAACTCCTCAATAAAATAATCTGATCCCCCTAACACAAATGGATAATTTAACCCAATTCAATTAAATAAATGTTTATTAAGCATACTGGGTAGGCACACTTTTGTCCAAAGACAAAAACCGGCCTCAAGGAATTTACATTCTACCAAGAGGATATGGCACATGCACAGAGAAGTGTACCATGATGAAGAAGCTAAAGACCTACGTCTCTTCTGGGATGGGAATGTGTAATTTTAATTAAACAGTGGTGGGTGTTCTCTAAAGGAAAGGAGGGAGGGCTGTCACATATACTGGAAGTCTTTTGCTCATGGCTTAACATCCCCAGCCCCTCCCACAGTGTGT